GACCTTTACCTCGCTGTTGTCTCTCGTAGGCCCGGACTATATCGGGAGCTGTCTCTAGAAGTTCAGATCTCATAAACCAGCGGTCGTCTTCCGGTTCTTGATAACTAAAATGAACCTTGTACTGTTTCTGCGGACGACCCCTACCTCCGGTTCTGAAGACATCTTCAGCCACTATACCATCAATGTCATATCTTCCATCCATATCTGGTGGGATCATCGATCTACGGGATGGAAACTGATCACTTGTTTGACAAGGTAATAACTTTGATGCATGGAAAACCGGGTACGTGTGGAGGTGTGCTGGGAGTTCTATAGTGTAGGACGGTCTGTCTTCGCCGCCCTTGACTTCTAAGACTGGCCACGGTCCTCTATAGGTGGGCAGTAACTTCTGCGAGATGTTCTCCTCAGGTGTAAACTCTTTAGAACTAACCCAGACTAAGTCGCCTACTTGAAACTGTGAGGGGCGACGATGTTTATTCGCTTGTTCTATCATCCTATGCTGGGCTTTCCTGAGGTTCTCGACAACAGTGGCTAGTTCTTTTTCGTGCTGTACAGCAAACTCCCTGGTCCCGGGCGGCAATCTGTGAATCTGATCGCGGTTGAGTCCCTCAAACGGTCTGCGCGGTCGAAAGGACTTGTGCAGTTCGTTGGGAGTGCGGCAGGTGGCTAGATGCATGCTGTTATTGTACGCACTAGCTACTTTAGGCAACATCTTATCCTAGTTAATCTGATCTGGCCTAATATACATGCGCAGAACTTGCTGCAGGATCTTGTTCATTTGCTCTGTCTGACCGTTAGTCTCTGGATGGCGGCCGGACGACATCAACAACTTAGATCCGTATACTCCCATGAGTTCTTGCCAGTTCTGGCTAATAAAGCGACTATCTCTATCGCTACGCCTCAGAAGGCAAAGGAACAAAAACTGCGTACTTGCTAAAGCGGTCAACTATGACCATGACTTGGCTCTTGCCATGCCTGCTCTTGACTTGAGTGTCCATGAAATCTATTRACACTRAGTCYCCCGGCTGATCYGGAATGGGCAAGGGTCTGAGAAGACCTAACGGGSCACGCGTAGAAGACTTGTTACGCTGGCAGACCTTACAACAGCGAACATACTCTACGCAGTCATTCTTCATCCCTGGCCAGGTATACGCGCGCATCAGATTGGCTAAGGTCTTTTGCCAACCAAAATGACCCTCCGTGTCATGGCATTCTCCCAGGATCAGACTGCGGATCTCTTCGCTATCGGGGATGCACAATCGGTAAAAAACATTAGTCTTCTCAAAAAGCAACCCTTCAGTAGTGCGGTAGTTCGGCTCGGTCTCTGGGGCCTCCTTGACTTTCTTAAGGAGCCCACCATAGATAGGGTCCTGTGCGTAGGCTTCTCTAACCTGCTGCTGCAGTCCTTTCCTATATCGAGGTAATGTACTATTGCCCCAAAATAATCAGCTCTTCTACTCAGAGCATCCGCGACTACGTTGTACTTCCCTTTGACAGGCTTGAGCTCAAAGTCGTACTGATCTATCTTTACGGCCCACCTAGTAAGCTTAGGTGTCATCTTGGCCTGCGTCTTTAACCATCGTAATGTTTCATGGTCAGAATAGACTTTGAAGTGCCTCCCAAGCAAGTAGTGCTTCCAGTGGTCTAACGCTTGCCTAAGAGCGTAGAGTTCCCTCTCGTAGCTAGATGTCGCGACCTTCTCTGAAGGCATCCTGGCGGACATGAACTCTACGGGTCTATAGCCATTGCCATCGTCTTGCTGTAACACTGCACCTATGCCGTACTGGCTAGCATCCGTAGTAACGACAAAAGGCAAGGACGGATCGGCGACTTTAAGGACTGGATACTCTATTAATGCCTGCTTTAACTTCTTCATGGCAGACGTGCAGTCCTTATCCCACTTCCAGATGGTCTCCTTCCTCAACAATCTGCGAAGGGGTGCAGCGATGGTGGAGAAGTTCCTCACGAACTTCCTGTAGTAATTAGCTAAGCCCAGGAACGAGCGCAACTCTGTCAGCGTACGTGGCGTGGGCCAATCTCTAATCGCTGCGATCTTGCTATCCTCTGGCTTAACGCCATCTCCGTCTAAGACGTGGCCTAAATACAAAACTTGGGTCTTCGCCCAATCGCACTTCTTGGCATTGATCTTGAAGTTAGCTTCCCTCTTGAAGTTAGCTTCCCTCAGCTTCTCCAAGACCTGCCTGAGATGACCCTGGTGCTCTTCGAGGGTCCTACTAAACACGAGAATGTCATCTAGATAAACTACGACAAATCTGTCTAACCATGGCCTAAACAAATCATTCATATAGCGCTGGAACGTAGCTGGCGCGTTGGTTAGTCCAAAGGGCATCAAGTACCTAGTCCAGAAAGCTGTCTTATACTGATCATCAGGATGTACCTCTATTTGATGATATCCGGACTTTAAATCTACCTTAGAGAAATATTTGGCCCCCTGCACTCGATCTAAGAGATCGTCTATCCTCGGCAGTGGCTCAGCATTCTTCACTGTAATAGCATTCAGATCCCTATAGTCTATGCACATTCTCAGCTCTCCCTCTTTCTTAGGAACAAAGAGAAGAGGCGCTCCGAAAGGGGACGAACTGGGCCTAATCCAACCCTTCTCGAGGAGCTCGTCTAACTGCTTGCGAAACTCCTCTAACTCCCGT